TTCCATGGGTCCTTCAACTGCCCGTTTTGGTTTCAAGCCACCCTTTTTTGGCCCATTTTGGCCATTTTCAAGGGTCCTTCAAAAGCAAATTCGTCCAAGAGATTTTGTCCAACTGCCACGCATACGAGACATCGTTTAAGTCAGTACTGGGTCCCAATCGACCTTGTGCACTGGCACCGAACCATTGAAATATCACCATTATTGATCTCTAATTGGCACCGCACGGATAGCCGGCGTTTAAACAAAGATGGAATGTTCCCAAAAGAGAACACCGCCAGTGAGAGCATCAACACGTCATTTGTCACATCGGCCGTCCGTCACACAGCCGCCACGTAAAAGCAAGACATCATCGCACAAACATCTGCATTCAAAATGACGTCTCAATGCAGAAAACACCTTGCTGGAACCGACTCTGCTGACTTTTCAAAGTCAGTTGAAGGAGTTTTTTTTTTTTTTGTTCTGGTGGCGTTTGTGCAGCAAAGTGAATTAAATTGAGTGATGCAGCGGTGTGTGACAGTGCGGGCATCCGCAGGGCTTTTATTGAAATAACAATTTGGCAGCCCACACTGTTGTTTTGACTGGTTTATTGTTGTTGTTTTTTTTTTTTTTGCTGGGGCGGGTGGGGTGGGGTCCTTTTTGTGCCGGGAAAGGGAAAAAAAAAAACCCAAAACAAAAAACAAAAAAACAATGGGCAATAACAGTAAATTGCTGTCCACTGTAGTGACTGACGCACAACTTTGGCATAGATACTTCTACATGCCGGAATAAACGACTTTTGAATACATTTCCACTCTACCAAGTTTATTATAGTTCCAAAACTAATGATGTAAGTGAAGCTAAAACAGAAGGGAAAAAAAATTTCCAAAGAAAAAAAACAAAACAAAAAATGTATTTAAAAATGAAAACTGAAACAATATCTCACTTTTGGAAAAATGACTAAACCTACAAAGCAAAAATGTCCTTATTTTTTCCTTTTGTCAATTAATAAGAATTTTTTAAAAAAAAAGCTTTTGAATATCTGTCACTGTAGTGACTGATGCAAACTTGCTGGAAAACACACAAGGCTGCAGGTTAGACTGCAACATTTCTTCTCATGCATGTTTACACGCGGCTGTAGCAGAGCAACACGCTATCCGTGTCAACCCCTCGTGCGTTTACGAGCGTGAGCATGCGCCCCCCCCACCCCCCACCCTCCTCTATTGTCTTATCAAAGCCGTGCGAATTTAGGGTTTGACTGGCCGTGAATTATTTATCCCCGCCGAGGCCGTGGAAACACACAAGCGGCAATAAATATTTATATGGAGCCTCATTTTTATTTCATCGCGGTATCGGAGGGGCAGCTCGCGGGATGGCGTCGGGGAAGGAGGCGGAGGACGAGGAGGAGGTAGTAATAAAAACAGGTGAGAGAAATTGATGAGGGTTACCGTTACAGTCCTGCGTAGCTTTGCCGCAGTCCAACATGTGGGAAGTGGGGCAGGGGGGAACGGAGGCTGAATAAAAGATGTTATACGAGCACCACGGGCTTAGCTTATTATCATCGCATATCTTAATATGCCTCAGGACCTATAACTAATATTAAGTGGAGAATGTAATTTCTGCAAGAATATTGTGTGTGAATGCTCAAGTGCTGATACTGAACTGAACCGAAGAAATGTTACACTGAAAATGACTACTTTTTTTTTTTTTTTAAATAACACAAAAATATTTTGATCGATTTATTTGGGAATATGGTCATGGGAAATGTGACATACTGTATATAATATACATACATTAAAAAAAATATGACATGGGCGGTCTACAGTATGTCGCAGTTTTCACCGATCGAAAAATATTCTTATTTCCACTGTTCCCTCTGGGAATTTTTGACGACAAGTGTTACACCGCGGATGATGTCAGATTGACTTGAGAGCCAAAACATACATTTGTTGTGTCCGTGTTTTAGGGGCCGAGGGGTGTTGGGTGTTTGGAACGGCGCTGCATGCTGGGAGCCACATTGATGCCGGTCCAACGGGGCGGGCCCGTCTGCGGACCGCCCCGCAGCTCCAAAGCACTCGGGTGAGCCGTTTCACTGTACTTCTGTGTGAGAGCAGGGCTGAGTCATTGAATCGCCCCCCCCTGCCCCCCGCCCCTTTTTGCCGTGTCCTCTGCCTGAACCCGAGGAAGTTACATAACAAGAAAGTTGATGGCAGACATGACGATGCGAGATAGGCCTCACTAATACATTTACCCACCACAGAAATCAACTCAACTGTCATCTGGCTTCTCTTTCCCCTTGCAGTCTTTTTTTTTTTTTTTTCCCTGTGGCTAAAATACATCATAAAAGAGTGGCCCCTCCCTGTCAGGCTTGTAAAAGGACGAAACATCATGTTGGACGCGTGGTTCGGAAATAGTTACATCGAGCTATCGGCGGCATGAATAACAAAAGTCAATTTCAGAGAAAATATCAAATATTATGAGCCGTGACAAGGCGGACGCAAATGGATACGAACGGCGTTTGCGTACGAGCAAGTCGAGTTTGTCTCGGGAGTCTAATTGAGAAAACGCGGTCAGTCAGCCAACGAGATGCACGGCGCTTTGTTGTGTAGCATTAGCCTCCATCGGCCCACAAACGACAGTAATTCCTTCCGTTCTTGAATTGTTTTGACAGTCGCGGTTAGCCGGCGCGCTAGCGACACCGATAAGACTCGAAGCAACGACTCTCGTCAACCACTCGGGAGCAGAGTGCCGACTCGGCGAAAAAGCTCACCGATGTTTTCAGGGACATCACGCAGTAATTCGTTACACTGGCAGCACTTCAAAGACCAAGAGTGGAGGAAAGAGAGAAGGGGGGGGGGAATCCAGGGCGACATGAGCCCCCAGAAACACACACACACACACACACACACACACACACACACACACACACACCCACACACACACACACACACACACACACACACACACACACACACACACACGGCTGCTAAATGGAAGGGATTTTTCAATTTGCCAGCAAATCAGAGTTGATTGGAAACCTCTCTTGTGGCAACACACGCACACACGCACACACACACACACACAATACAAGACATGCAACACTTTCATGCTGACAGATGCTCTTCAGGGCAAAGAAGAGACAAGGTGAAGGATGGAGAGGGAAAAAAAGACGACAAGCGAAGAAAAAAGGTGTGTGCGGACTTGCTACCAAGACTTGCTCATCCTAGCTCGCTGCTAACGTGGACTCTGGTGTGATTCAAATTTGGAAATAAGATTTTTTTTCTTTTTTGGGGGTGGGGTGGTGTCTGAGATTTTATTCAGCCAATTTTACTTTGTATTAGTAGTAGCGCGATGCTAACATGAGTTACGTCGGTTACATTTTGCAAGAATTCTTTCATTACCTTTCCACACATGCTAATCTGATCCACTGTGATTTATTATTCCTTAGCGTTATTTACATGTGGATTTGCTCCCTGGCCGCCAAACCGCTGCCCCGTCGGCTCATATCGACGGGATAAACAATGCGGAAGGTGTCAATAACGGGCGGCGTGGGCCGGGGAGAGCACCGGTTCGCGCGGCCAGCGGTGAATCGATAGATTGATCTGCAGGCGACGTGGCCGTGATGAACCTGAGCGGAGTTAATCTTGGCGATGACGTGAAAGGAGACACTGGAGAGCACTTGTTGAAGTCTCGCTGCCTTCTGGGAAGCTATTGAGCACGTTATCGCCACAAGAGGTAAGAAAGCGTTACAGAAAAGATCGATATAGACTGCAAATCACCACTTCGACACTCCTGAAGTCAACCTGCCGGGGCTATTTCGTTGCCTGTAGAAGACGCATTTTTTTTCTGCCTCATTTTTTTTTCCTTCTTCCTGCCGTCACTGTTCTATCTTAACGGCACCGGGGTGTTCACACAGTTACTGCAGCTTTGGGTATTAAGATGATGAGATACGTCTGGGAGAGCTTCCCCACTCTAGTCGCAGCCCCCTTACAAACGCCGTCTTGTCTGAGAGGCGCATGCGAGTCAATGGCGGCTCTACCGTGACACCAACCTTGTTTTACGGGATGGATTGCTGCCTGTCGGAATTGAGTGTTTCCATCCCACTCACCCTCTCCAAGTCTTGTCGGAGGTGCGTGAAAAGCTTGAGCCGTCGGTACAGGACGTCCTGCTCCTGCTGGGCCAGGTTGTCCACCTCGTCTCGTTTTAGAGTCACCAGGGGCTGGTTGAAGTTGGCCTTCCTTTTCAATTTCCAGAACTGGTACAGGAAGTCCACCTAAGGGAGAGATATTTTTATTTTATTTTAATTTAATCCCACTTCAAACGTGAAGCATAAAGTTGACAAGTGTGGTGATAACTCCGCCACGCAGGCGTTTCATTTATTACGTGCGGCATTGACGTGATGTCATCTTTAGTAGACGTCTCCAGGAAATTAGATCGGAAAGCTACCTCTCATTTTTCCAAAATATTTCTACCTCCTCCCACATGACTTCTCTTTCAACGGAGATAATAAAAATATGAGTCCCTAAACCGTGGACCATTTTTACTTCCGTCGACAAAATCAAAAGGTTACGGTTCTCCAAGTACCTGTGTGACAGGCAGTGCCATGTTCTCCGCCACCTCTCCGGGATCCACCAGTCGATAGAACTCGTCCTCCAGCTCCTGGAGCTTCTGCTTGCGCTGGCTCACCTTGTCCCGTTCCAGCTGGTCCCGCTCGGCCCTCTCCGACACCGAGTACGGTACCGATCTGGGCTCTGGGAGCTCAGTGGTCCACTCGGGTCGAGCCGCCCCGCCGCCGCTATGCTCCAGACAGAAGGACTTGAAGCGGACCTCGTCGTTCTCGGCAAGGATGGTCCTCATTTCCAGACCGTGGTCGAAGGCGCACGTCACGTGGAAGGCCACAATACATGAGGGCGTCGAACACTGTTTGCAAAGAGGAACCAGGAAAGAACCTCAGGGGTTATGCTCTCTAGATTGCTCGCATCCATCAAACACAAGAATGGTCGGTCAAGTTCTGAACTTGTGGAATGGAAAAAGTTTTGTGTTTTATGGCACGTCATCAAGTTTCACTGTTCCGTAAAATTAACATGGTTGACAATTTAGCATCTTTTAGTTTGTCAAAATTTGTCTGTGTCTCATGAGGACCTGTAGATGTGTCCAAATTGACCCTAAAATGGCCAGGTCAAACCAAAACGGAATGTCTAATCATGATTAGACATGCCTACCAAATTTCATGTTGTTGAGATAAACTGGTTTCAGGGGCTGAATTGTTCCCCCCCACCAAAAAAAAAAAAAATTGTTTCCATTACAATGTATAAAACTCTGAAATGGTCATTTCAAACCAACACGGCAGACTCCCCGTGTCTCTCAGGCATAGCTGCCAAGACTTTTTTTGGTGGGTGCACTCAATCACATACATGCAGACCAAATTTCACGCTGCGCTGAAAAACTTAAGCCAGCAGTACCTGGATGCATGTTCCGGTGTGCTCTCGACACAGGCTACAAGACAGAGCCCATCGGCTGGCGGGAATGTGGGACACCTTGGTGATGGGCTCCATCTTCTCCGGACAGCCTATACTCACCTAGCACACAATTTGGGGGACTTGAAACACAACAGCTACACGTTCTACTTCATCATAATACTGCATTGTTGTTGTTTTTTTCCCCGCCCCTTGTTGGTCACTGTGCCGATCCATGACAGACATTTGTGCTGCGACTAATTGATCGGTCTGTTAATTGACCCTGATGTGTCAAAGACACACACACACACACACACACACACACACACACACACACACACACACACACACACACACACACACACACACAAATTGAAGTAAGCTACATTAACCCAGAGGCTGCAGCGTTGTTTGTGTGTGTCTTTCCCAGCAGGAAAACGGGAAAAACCTCATAAAAATTTCATTGATAGAGATGCTCGAAGCTAAGCTTGAGTGTGTGTATGTGTTTCGTTAATTTGTGTGTGTGTGTGTGTGTGTGTGCGTTTAAGTGAGAACTCTGTTGGAATTAAAGGCTGATTTACACACACACAAACGTGCGCACACACACGCACACACACAAAACCACATAAATGGGTCAAATTCTACTTATCAGGGATGACACACACACGCACGCACGCACACGTGCACGCATCGGGGCCAGTGAGAAAAAAATGTCTAACTCGGTTAAGTCAACCACAAAAATTGGACGACAAATGAATCCTTTTAAACTATATTTGTGACACCTGGAATCAATGTTTGGCCACTTTCGTTTTTTGGGATTCAGTTACTTGAGTAATCGATGGAATAATCGATAGGATTATCGATTCTTAAAAGATTCGTTCATGACAGTTCTGGTAAATATCGACTAAAGATGTATAGAAACCAACACACTTGGAGCTAGCAGCAAAAAAGAGTGGAACAGTGCAGGTTCCAGAGTACATAAAACTGCAATGTTCCGGCACAGGAACAAGCCATGCTAACATTAGCATGTGTGATTATTTTGAGCAAATAGCTCGCGTAGTAGTAGGAGCGGTTATGAGCCTTACTTCAGGTATCCATAAGGCACAGCTGACGTGGACCCACTTGGTTCCACTGCGGGTGGGCTTGAGTGCGCCGCCCCGCTTGGGGCAGAGCAGACACTTGGGCTGTACGCCCAGGGCGCACATCCGACAAAGCCAGTTGCCCTGCGGGACCTTCAGGATGCCGTAGCAGGCCTAACAAAACAGAGAGCGAGAGAAGTTAGCCAGCTATGCTAATCAGTCTATCTAAAATGCTAATGTGAGTTGCTATTTGCGGACAAATCTTGGCAGTCAGGTGAACGCCTCCTTTGTCTGGCTCAAGGTAAGTTCTATACTTGTTAAAAACGTGGGACCTGGTGCACGCAGACGTTGCACTTGTCGCAGAAGACCATCTCGTTGCCGTCCTCGCCCTCGGGGGAGCGGCAGACGTCACAGACCACATCCTCGTCGTACTCGATGCCCAGGCCTTCCTCCGCTTCGATGGCCTGCTGCATCTTCTCCTCGCACAAGCGCTCCAGTTCCACCAGGATGCGCTCCATCGTCAGCTCGGCCAGCTCAGGCAGCGCTGATGAGAGTTGGGGTTGGAGAGCAGTTCATGTTCAGTAACGCTCGCCAAATAGAGGTTATACACTGCAGTTTTTAAAATCATTGACTGATGCCCCCCCCTTCCAAAAAAAAAACGACTACAATAATCTCCCATTCATCACGGGAATTACAAGGTCTGACGGAACACAATGGGTGAAGCGTGATATAGCGGGGGATTACATTCACTGCTAACAAGCTACAGCTAAAGCTAGCTAAGATGTTGCTGTTTATTTTCGCCCCTCACTGTAATACAAAAATAAAAGTGCCAGCACTCACCCATTTGCGCAAACTCCTGGTTGACGAGTTCCAGCCAGGCCACATCCGTGTCGTCCAGGTCGTAGCAGCTGTACACTTGGCCGGGGAGAGGCAAAGGTTCCATGTCACCCTCCTTGGATGTTACGTCTTGTGATGTTATGGGCAGTAACCTAGGAGGGGAAAAACAAAAATGATTAAGAGTTCAATTGCCTGTTCCAAATTTGCGAGTAATTTTGGAAGGACAAGTTCATCTTTGAAAGACCAATGGAAATGGCCCAAAAAAAAAAAAATAATAATAATAAATCGCCACTTGCCTTGTACTTTGCTCGAGTAAAAAAGGGGGTAGCAATAGGGCAAAATCGCGAGGACAATTTACTTTAAAAGACATTTTGGAAGTCATCCTAAAACGGCCAAACTTTTTTTGGGCATGGCTTCTTCAGACTTTTTGGGTGGGTCGATTCACGATAGATACCCTCGCCAAATTTCATGTGCCTAAGTGATACTGGCTTCAGGGGCTGAATTTTTGAAAAACATTTGTGTTTTATGGTGAATCATGTAACTTTGTGGCCCACAAGAAATGACAAAAACAACGGGTGGCTCACAAATGTATAGTAACGTGGTCGGTCCATCTGTCTCGTATAATTGGCTCCAGTTTGAAAACAAGTTAGGCTTTGAACTAATCCCAGGAAATTGTTGAAATGGTGGATGGGAAACAAAATGGCGGACTGTGTCTACAAGCATGGTTCCCCAAGACATTTTTGAGTTTAATCATGATAGATATGAAACATGACAGAGTTTCAGATTGTGCGGTGAAACTGGCTTTGGGGCCGGAATGTTAAAAAGCACCGCCAAGGCCATTTTTCAGTTTTTGACATTGGCAACACTGTCAAAATGGTCGTTTATTTGACCTAAGAATGACAATGATGATAAAACAAAGCAATTTCAAGAGGCGTGTTCCGACCCTCGCCGTTGAAAGTGTGTCAAAGGGAGCAATCGCGGTGGGGGAATGCGGGGCAGGAAGTTCCTCCGGGCGCTGTCTGCTCTCGAGCGCATCCAGACTAAAACGTCTCCACGGTCAACAAGCGAGAGAAATGGGGGTCGGGAACTCTGCGTGACCCGGTGGGAGCCAGCCGCCTTCGACTGACGTTAAAGTCATGTGACACAACAATCACAACAGATGCACAGCGGGCAACTCCACGCAGTGAACCGCACGGACACTATTTTTCCGATGCTTTGCTTCCTGTTGACACGGGACAGTTACCTACCGCCTTTCAAAGGGTTGAAGTGTTCAAACAATTCAAAGCCACTTTACAAAGTAAAATATTTTGTGCGATCTCCATTGAATATTCCATACTTAAGTTCATTAGATTAGTTGGGTGCCAATTTTTCACATCGTCTATCACAAGGAAGTTAGCGAAATGTCCATAACTCAAACTTATCTCAATTTGTTGACCCCGAATCTTTGAAAGTGTAACAAAATAAATACATTGGGGGGGATATGGATACATTAAATAAGTGTATTATTAGGACTATTCTTACCTCTTTCTTATTGTTTCTCTCAATGCGATGCCATGTTCACGCTCGATTCAACTTTTTTTTGTTTCTGAATGTCGTAAAATGCATACATTATCGCAGGACTTTTATACTCAATAATTTTTCTGTGGGGCTGGGGGTGGGGGGGGGTGCTTTGGCGGGCTTTCTGGGAATCGGCCGGTCGAGGACGAACGATTCAAACCAAAAGGACTCCCTGTGTTTTTGTGGTTATGGCTTCTTGAGACTTTTTTTGTGGGTCTGGTCATGCTAGACATGTCTCCCAAATTTCACGTCGCTTCGTGAAACTGGTTTCAGTTGCTGTTTAAAACTAACCAAACAAAAAATTCTAAAGCCATCTATGTGGTACTATTCAAAATTATGCTAAAACGGGGTTTTTGAACCAAAATGGCTGAATTCCCATGACCTTTGAGGCACAGATTAGAATAGCTTTAATCATGATACACACGTCAACCAAATTTCCTGTTGCTGAAATAGAATAGTTTGCGAAAGGCCCCTGGAACTGGAAACTGCACAAAAGTGGCAAAAATGTGTGCTTTGCACCACAATGTCTGACATCCTTTTCTCTTTTCATGATAGACACCTCAACCAAATTTCAATATTCCGTCGTGAAACTGTCTTCCGGCGCTGAATTTTGTTTGTGCTGGATGTAACAATTTTATTTTTAAAAATTTTTTTCAGTCCTGACCGGAAATAAACCCTTTTGTCCGATTTTCTCCCGAAACTCCATCGAGGCGGTGAGCGATAACGGTGATCTTAAAACCATGCTTTTACAGCTTCCTTTTATGATCTAAAACAAACAGACTGCTCTGATCTATTTCAGTCCGGGATGATAATTAAATAACACGGCGAATGGACACCTCACCATGGGCACACGTAGACATACAAACACAGTGAGATGAGAGAATGGTGCTGTTATGTAAGGCGCAAAGCGGCTTGAGTGTCTCATATCATCGGTGTGTGCGTGGTGTGCTTTTGTGTTCTTTTGTAAGACATTTAAGAGCACCATGTCCACTGGAAATGTGAGGCTTTCTATTTAATCTGTCACTTTCATTGCTTCCATGACTCACCTCCTACATAATCATCAGCAAGGCCACACTTGTACAGAAACATACACTAATATTAAGAAAAAAAAGTTTAGTTGCTTTCTATTGTGTAATGTGGCTGCAGTGATCATAAAAAACTGGTGTCTGGTGTATGGGAGTCTGTTGTGATAGCTCGTATTTATCTGCGCCTGATTGAGTGTGAATTAGCCCTTTTTTTATGGATTATTCCTACTCGTCAAGTTTATTTCGACTGTGGCAAAGTGGCGGCGGTTATCACGACTTCCTGGCGAGAGGCGCAAGCTCACTTTTTTTTTTTTTTTTTTTTTTTTTTGCTTCTACCCCACCCCCTCCTTGTAAAATAATCATCTTTTGTCAACTTGCAAGTGTTGACACAAGAGACGCTTTCTCCAGCGTGGGCTAGGATCGTCTTGAGGCTCAGGAAGCTTTCGACACACGCGCAGGCTCTTGGAGATTGATGACGTCTCTGATAAAAATTTGAAAAAAAGAAAAGGGGGGGGGATGCCTATGCAACAGCAGGAAAAACGTGCAACAAGCTGGGAATAACATTCGGGAGTCAAGGGTGTCAAGTGACGGATGTTGGACTGATGCAATTCAGGGTAAAAAAAAAAAAGAAAAAAAAAGAAGGAAATTTTGCACCTCCAGCAAAGCACAAGCCACAAAAAGCGCTTTTATGTGCTCTCATTAATTTATGGCTTCATTAAATGTGCAGCGCAGACGCACAGTGAAGCAAATAATAACCTTGAGCGCCAGCAAATCACACCGTGTAAAATAAATAAATAAATAAATAAAGTATGGTAAGGAAGAAAGCGAGCAATTAGAAGATGCTCCCGCCAGACGCAGACGTGGCTTCAGAGGAACATGCATGAACAGAAACAGGTAGAGTGGGCTAACTCATTTTTGCAGGAGACGCACACACAAAAAAATCTGGGGAATTCATATCTTGGAAATGTGATCTGGCCCAGTTTTGCAGTGATGAATCAGGAAAAGCGCAAGTGCAAAAATGGGCGGAATTGGAAGTAAACTGTGATTTAGGCTGGCATTAATTTGGAAAAAAAACATTTTCCTCTGTTCAGTTTGGCACATCATTTATAAATGAGACAAATGGAGTTAGCCCACTCTTGTCCTCTGTGGCTTGACAACGTTAGTCTTGTAAAAATGCGAGTAAAAAGTGGGACACAGAAAAATGTCATGTTTGCACTGGAAAATATTTGATTAATATCATAAGTGTGAGCGTGTGTGTGTGTGTTTGTGTGTGTGTGTGTTTAAATTGTCATTCTTGGAATACCTCGCAGCCACAGGCTGGCTGAGAAAAACCGCGATTCCCTTTCTTTCCCATAATCCCCCCTAAATGCCCAAACCTTTCACAGCACCACACTCTCCCTCTGTGTGCATGTGTGCTTGTGTGTGTACTTGTGTGTGCCAACAGACAGGCTCTGCATCCTGCGCTCGCATGCTAGAAAGCACACTGAAAGGGCTAAATCTGTATACACACGTTACAGCTGCAGCTGGTGTGAAAGTGCCACAAAAAAAATCACATTTTGGATTGAATATGAGAGCGGTTAAAGCGTGATACAGCAAAACTGCAATATGCAGGATTAACTCTGCAGTATTTTTCTGGCCACATGGGGGCGGTAGGAAAGGAGAGCGATGGTTTGAGTCCAATGTTCACTTAGCGTCAAAGGAACACGTCAACTGATGTCAGTTTTTTTTTGGGGGGCGGGGGGGTAATATAAAAAAAAATCTCCCCATAAAATTCAATATCTCAACTTAATTCTGGGAAAAAGACAACAATTTTCTTGATATATAGTTCGACTTTAGCCCCGTCATGTTTGAATTGAGAGCGAGCTGCCATTTTGTGTGCGGTTGAGATGCCGCTACAGTGAGCCTGTTGTTATGGATATGAGAGCGACTTATTAACACCTCTGCTCGAGAGGAGCTGCAGCCTGTGCAAATGTTTGACAAAAGGGTGAGGAGGGGAAACCAAAGGGGGGAGGGAGAATGTGGCCAACATTTGGGCAAACAAGGCCGGCGGGAATTTTTTTATTCATATCGCTCGCTCGGCTAGTAGAGGAATGAGACACAGTGGGAGGAGTGGATGACACAACTGCAGCATCATCCAGAGATTAAGGTACAGCAATAGTCTTGCAGAGGAAAGAGGGCAAATGCAGCAAAGTGGAGAATGAGGAGCGTTAAGTTGCAGAAGCTGGACGGTAGCGGGTCTGACAGGCTGAGTTCGCCATGGCAAGAGGAGACTGAGGGCCACTGGAGCAAAACGCAAACAAGCAAAAGGGTAAAATGGCATATCCAACGGGGGATTGAGGGCACCTGCAGCCAGGTGGAGACAGAGGAGTCGAACGCTAGGGCACAGGAACAAGTTAGGCAAACATATTTGAGGTGGGAGCCCGTGCCAATCCGGCAAAGTGGAGAACGTGGGGTATAAAAGTCAAGCATGAGCAGCTAAGGCACAACAACGGCTAAAGCTCCGAGGAGAATGAGGGCCAAGTAGAGACTAGAGAGTACAAGTTAAGCTCAAGTATATTTACATGGGGATT